ACGCTTTTAGTCAACCGACTAAGGTTATAGTAAATGGGAGAACTTAAGAGACAATATCCCTCTACATGTAATATAATATATAGTAAAACATCATACAGTATACTTAACTAAAGTATATAGTACTGGGAGTTAAAAAGAGTTTAATTCTACACAGCGGAATGCATCACAAAACGAATCATGTTTCGACTGGACTTGCCACACCTCATCAACTAGAATAGTTTGACTCAAGAAGTTTATTGGTGGGATGCGTCGGTCGTCTGGCAAATTCCAACCAATCAGACGATACTGTCAGTGCGCTGTTTCCATCTGTAGCGCAGATGTCATCTCTTCATTAGCTCCGTTGTTGCTGTCACTCAGTAACCTTTAATTTTTCAACCACTGAAAGCGCTTAATTAGGTTTATCCAGGTATTGAACGTTTCCACTAATCAGTCCCTATTCATATGACTATCCACTATTTGAATCAATAGAGCTTCTGGTACTGTTCAATCAAGCTGACGGGGTGACAGATCATGCTCCAGCGAAGTTAATGCGGTGAACTGCAGTGATACGGTGATGTGTAGGCACAGATCTTACGTCCAGTATCTTTAGAGTTTCTTGGACTCATTAGCCACTTGCGGGCATGTGGGTGTCCTGAAACTCGAAGGGTCGCGATGTCTGACCGTCATACTGAGAGCTACAGTATGAACGATTCATGTGGCAAAAATTGTCCGCTGTCTCTTCTTGTGAAATACGAACTTTCAGTTTCGTATGTAATGATCGAAGCGTAGCTTTCGACCTGAAAGTGATGCAGATATTCGCAGAACTTAAAATCCTGTGGATGGATTCAGAGAAACCTTGGATGTACGGAATGCACACGGTCGTGGCCAGCTTTTTTCTTCGATTTCTCTCTTTCGAGCTCTCGACTGTGCCGCCCTTTTCACAACGTTTCTTGGATAACAACTGCATTCCAATACCCCATCAAAATGTTTCGTTTCAGTGTGAAGTATGGCCTTCGAATACAAATTTCTAGCTCTGTCCAGAAGGAGTTTTGAAATTTCGGCTTTTGTTACCAGCGACCTGCTGGCCTTCAAGTTTAAGTACTAGCCAGTGTAAGCTGGTTTTCGATAACCTGGCGTTTCGCCCTTCTTCCATCGTAAACCCAATTTTCGGTGTTATACTATACCATTCAGGTAACTCCGCCATGGCCGGTCCCAAACCCGGATGAGAAAGGAGGAGGGTTGGAGACCGTGGCAAGTCTCCGT